GTGTTGTCCAGTATGGATGAGTTAAGCCATGACTCGGTCAGGATGATATTGCAGCAGTTACTAAACTCCTTTTATGAATAGAGTTGTAAATTATCCATTTTGTTGTCCAGTGAGCAGATGTTGGAGAGCAGGATTGAAGGGATCAGTGGTTTGTAGGGGTTTGTAGCCCGTCTCTGCTCCTGCATTTTCATTGTCGTTCACACCATCTTGCTCCTCCTTCAGGCGTGTGCTGCTCGACGGGTCTGCTGCTTTGTGGGCCTCTGGGGCATTTGCATGAAGCACTCCGAAGAGCCTGAAACAGTCGAGAGTAGTTGTATGTACAAGTACAGAAAAAGCACTTCATGACCTTAGCTCCAGCAGGTGCTGGTGGTCATAGACTAACTTACGGGATTGATGCATAGTTTGTAGCATGCTAGGCTAGGTGATATATTTGGAAGAAAAAGCTAGCAGATTGTCGATAGCTATAGCAGCCACTGCCATTACACCGGCTTTGTAAAATATCTTCCAAGTTTAGGTAGATATTTATTCAGGACATAATTGTTGCAACTTTCTATTTGACATAATTTGCTGTTTTTGTTAAGGAAAGCTTTGCGCTTACACCTTGACGGTTTCTCTCTCCTGTTCTTTTCCTGAGAAGAGATCACTCGGGAAGATATCTTTAAATAATACTTCATAGTGTATATCTATCAAATAACCAGGAAACATGACAATAGATTCTGACAGGAATTGTAATCTTGTAATTTTAATGTATTGAAATATTACACTTTGTTTTTGGATCAAGGACACCGCTCTCATTTCATTCCCAAGTTTTTGCCACATCCTAATTAGATAAACTACTTGGGAAAACATTAGTTGTGGCACACAACAGGCAGGTAATACAAGGGTTAAACAGACTCACACATCATCAATAACGATTATCCTAACATTATAAAGTAAATTCAGTGCTTCATCGTGTTTCTTCATGGTTAAAAGCTGTTCCTTAAAATGCTTCACAGAGTGGATAGCTGTTAAATATCATATCATATTTTTCTAGAATTTAAGCAGTTTTATTATGCTAAACTATATTTAATATGATTCTTTAAACCAGAAGCCACCTCATGTCTTCATTGCAAAATCTTAAACCTTTGCAAACCAAAAAGCTAAGTCCGTGTGAGAAGCTTGTTGTAGATCAGGGGTGAGCAATTCCAGGTCCTGAGGGCTGCTATCCTGCAACTTTAAGATGTGCCTTTGGTTCACCTGGATCAAGTAATTATATGAGGAACTGGCTGCATATTGAGGAGGTAACTAAGCCATTGGATTCAAGTGTGTTGGACCACGGATGGATCTTAAAGTTGCAGAATTCCGTCCCCCAGGAACTGGAATTGCCCAAGCTGGTTATTTATGGTTAGCTCTTTTTTGCCTCTCCCCTCTGTTGACCAACTGTAAAATAGGAATGGGTGGACTACCAACATTGCTTTAGTGGCCATTGTTTAGTTGAAAAATTATATAGAAGCAGTGACATTCATCAACAACATAACTCAAATGATTTGTATGTAGTTAATGACGAACATGGTTCTTTGCAGGGTGGAAAGGAAGGAGCGGGCACGTCTAAAAACCGTCAAATTTAACGCCGATACAGGAATGACTGATTCAAAGCTGGTAAGTGTCTTTTTAAGACCTTAGACGAATTTTATCATTTTATAAATGAGATCCTTTATGAATCCCCAAATGTGTCTTTGTGTCAGAATTCATCATCAATTTGTTTCTTAGTTGCTTCTCCTAAGGGTCCCTTAGGAGCAAGAGATAAGCTAAATAGAGACAAGAGATCCTGAAGACATAAGGAGGTTAAGTTGAGAAAACCATTTAAGCATTAATTTAGAAGTACGATCAAGAAAAGAGATCTCACAAATGTATGTATCTGATCTCAATTATGTCTTGGTTCTTTTAAATGTGAATTAAAGAGAATAAGATGAGATAAATCTGAGAAATCAAATAGTGAGAGAAAGCCTGTTTATTTCTTACTGAACCAAAACTGAGGGGTGCAATTGTTCACCTGTTCTTAACGATGCAGGGTTCATGTCTTT